CCCCGTGTGTGTGTGTGTGTGTGCGTGTGTGTGTGTGTGTGTGTGTGTGCGTGCGTGCGTGTGTGGGCGCCTACACACGCACACAGAAGACCCATTTCATCTTCTTTTTTTGTTTTTTTCTTTGTTGTTATGCATTTGAATAACCTGAAAAAAAAAAAACAAAAAAAAAAAAACATGAGATTGTTGCATACGTGAGGTGCGCGGCATGGTGCGCTGATCGCAGATGCACGGAGAAAAAAAAGAAAAAAAAAAGAAGGAAAACAACAACAACCGTGATGCCTGTATACATGCTGTAGAGAGAGAGAGAGAGAGAGAGAGAGAGAGAGAGAGAGAGAGAGAGAGAGAGAGAGAGAGAGAGAGAGAGAGAGAGAGAGAGAGAAGAGGCCTTTGAGAGAGAAGAGGCCTTTGGCCCCTTTCACATTATTCAGAAAACCCCTGCCCGCACTTTAAAGCTACCAACTTAGCAAGGATCCCGTCAGCAGGAGAAGGATAGTCGCTGGGCTTGTAGTAAGGAGTGAGCAGGCCAGCCATATATGGTGTAGCTTCGAATTCAGGTCCATGTTTCGGCAGTTATGGGTTACTGACTTACTAACTCTAGCTTTAAAAATATATTAAAAGTATAAAAATAAAAAATAAGATATAGCTAGTCCACTCTGGTAGCCATAGATTGATTACAAAGGTGCTGCTCTGTGGAACAGGAGGTTGCTCGTAGCTGGTGTCTAAGATATAGCTAGTCCCTTTTTTTCCCCTCGAATATAGAACATACGCCGTACTGTCAATTACTCCTTCCATCTAGACTGGAAAACAGCTATCATGAGTCATGACCGAACGTTCTATTCGAGGGAGGATGGTAGTTGTGGGGTGCTCCATATGAAGAAGCACATTTCTCTTGGTTCAAGCTTCTTGCTTGTGACTTGGTGAGCAGACAGCATGACAAGCTTTTCAGTAAAGTAAGTGTGGGGCCGGACACGTGGGCCGAAGGCCCTCCTCCGTGCAAGCACGGATTCGAACCGGTGACGGTGACCTTGGCCTCAAGAGCCAGGTATCTCTTAGCCACTACTACAGCCAGGACAGACACGGTGTTCAAAAGCGGAACCATGCCGATCGAGATATCCACCCCACTCCTGCAAGGCTGTACTGTCCAAGCCTTTCAGACGTCGGTTTCCCAAATGAAAAAGCTTAAAAAGCTGATCGCTTTTTCAAATGCAAAGTAAAATTTACTAAATGAAAAAGGTTTGGAGTTTTGGCCTGTGAGTAGACAGGATGCCGATCCTTTGTCCTTGATCTTCTTCTTCAACGACTTCCTCTCCCTCCCCCTCCGCTCCTCCCTCCCTACCCCTGGGCCATCCTCCCCTGTTGTCGTCCTGTTTCATTCATTTTTGTTTCTTTGAGACTGTACTAGCAACCACATATTTTGTGTGTGTGTGTGTGTGTGTGTGTGTGTGTGTGTGTGTGTGTGTGTGTGTGTGTGTAATGCTATACATTGTGACAATTTGATGCCTTCAGGGGTGTGTGTGTGTGTGTGTGTGTGTGTGTGTAATGCTAGACATCGTGACGTTTTGATGTCTTCAGGTTTGGCCTCTTGGTGTCTATGGTAGAGTTTCTCCAGCCTCTGTGATGCAATTCTCTACTGTTTCCTCTCTCTCTCTCTCTCTCTGTATATATATATATGTATACATATAGTTAAACAGAGCTGGCCGGTAAACTGTAGGCAGAGAGGGAGGGAGGGAGAAGAGGCAACAAACGAGGGGCCGTGACAAACTGTTTCGTCAGAGTTTCACTGACTCATCAGGGGGCTGAACCCTCAACAGTCTGCAGAATCCCCTAACTGATTACACTGTAAGTGATAATCCACCTTAACCCTCGTTGTTGTGGTTAAGCATCAACGACTGCCCGACAACTGATACCCCTCTGAGGTGGTGGGCACCACCAACCACTGCCCTCAAGGTACCTGTCACGAAAATCAAAGCAGGCTATCACTCACCCCCACACCAGATGGAAAACTCTACAGACCGGACATATATGTGTTAAACCACCAGTACCTTTGTCGGTTTGAAAATACTCGGCCTTCGACCTTTCAGGAGGCCGAAACAAAAAGACGGCCTCCGATCAGATTGAGCAACGTCGGGCCCGGCCTCCTGAAAGTTCGGGTACTGGCCAGGACTTGTCGAAACCGGACGCCGAAGGTACTAGTTGTTTAAGCCCTGCTGTCAACATGGAGCCTTACTTCAGACATTATGTTTTACACGTCCCCTGGTCATATTTGACACTGTTTCCTTTGTGTGGGTTTTGTGTTGATGATCGGCTGGTGCGGTCAGATTCTACGAGTATTGGTGAGCTTGCTTCAGACATCTACGGATGCGAAGACACTGGCGGTGGCATGCCACGACTTGGGGATGTTCATTCAGCATCACCATTCGGGCAAGCATGTGCTCTTAGATTTGAAGGTGAAGGAGCAGCTGATGAAACTCATGCAACATGCTGATCCAACAGTGCGCAGGCAGGCGCTGCTCACCATTCAGAAGCTTTTGCTCAGCGCGAAATATGTTAGCTATTTGAGTTGAACTTGGCAGATCTACAGGTCTGGATGTAGTAAGAAGAGCTGGATGAGAGACGAGAGAGAGGGTGTGTGCGGCGTGTGTTTGTGTTTGTGTGTGTGTGTGTGTGTGTGTGTGTGTGTGTGTGTGTGTGTGCGTGCGTTTTGAAAGGGCCTGGTGTTTGTTGTCATGGTATTCTTCTCCAGGGTTGTGGAGTTAGAGCTGTCTCTTATACACATCTAGATGTGTATAAGAGACAGCTCTCTCTCTCTCTCTCACTTGCTTGCTCGCTCTGTCTCTGTGTCTCTAATCTCCCCTCCCGTCTGCTGGCTTCTCTCTTGTTTGTTCCAACCCTCTCTTTGTTGCTCTTCCTCTGTGTGTGTGTGTGTGTGTGTGTGTGTGCGCGCATGCAAGTGCTTGTACGTCGGTGAAAATTTGCAATGACTCTTTTGAAAAGTGCTTGCAGTGTCGGCTTGCATCGGTCGTTGGTCTTTATTTGCAATCCGTCGACCTCGCTGTTGTGTCATTAGCCTTTTTTAAAAACATGGACGTCCTAACCTGTGAGTATACAGTTGAAACATGGGCCTTTTTAAAACTGTTGTGCGCTTTGTTTTCCTTTCGTTTTTTTTTGGGGGGGGGAGGGGCTGTTTGTTCGTTTGTTTGTTTGTTTGTTCTGCTGCAGGCGTGGGCAGATGAGGATCTGAAGGACGCGCTCGATTCGCTCGAGGAGTCGTTGAGGGTAAACATCAAGGTTCTCAGTTCGTTTGAGCAGTACAGGAAGGAAGTACTTTCTGGCTCTTTGGAGTGGACGCCAATGCACAAGGACGTCTCCTTTTGGTCGGAGAACATCAAGCACTTCGAGGAGCATGACTTTGAGGTGAGGATTGCCGCTCTGCACATGTGTGAGGAGACTGATGTCCCGGCGTAGAGGGGTTTGTGTAATCCCCACGTAGGTCCACTAGTATTAGCTTATTACATAACCTCTGCTGAGTATCGTACGCCCACTGGCCAATCTCTGCTGTTTACAATGCACAGGGCACACAGGACATGTTGTGAAGATTTCACAATCAATGGAATATCATCCGGCGTAGGTTCACAAGCTGTTGTGTCATTAGCCTTTTTGAAAAACATGGACGTCCCTGGACCCGGTTTGCAGCAGGTGCGGCTCCCCACCAATAGATTGGAGCATCCGGCGGTAGGCTACTAGATGGAGGTGCCTTTGTCACCCGCCCACCTCCCCCCCCATCCGCCCACCCCCCCACACCCAGTATTCTGAGGCAGGTTATTAAAAAAGAAAAGAAAAAAAGAGGAATGTTGTCGTGTTGGGAGTATTCTCTCTCTGTATCGCTTCAATGCAGAGGCTCGCCTGTCCTGTTGATGCTTATCGTCCCTTATTAGCCCCCTCACGAGTATCCCACAACGACCCACAGCACACACCGGACGCGCAGACAACATTTCATTTCATGTCGGTCTGTGTTCCGCGTCCCAGAGGTTCTCGTTTTGACGATTATCGTCCCTGCTGAAGACACATTGTGGATGTGTACGTCCTTTCGAATGCGCACTCAAGCTACTTTGTGGCAGCTTCTTCAAAGCGCTTCACTGTGTGCTGTAAAGAATCTCTCCTCCTGAGTGTACTTTTAACAAGGGGGGGGGAGGAGGGGGGGGTTAAAACTGCCGTTGAAAGCCATTTAATTCCCTCCTATCCTGCCATCTGTTTTTTAACGGATTGGGTCTATGGCGGTTTGGGTACGTGGCCCAGCACCCCTGCACGATTAAACTGAAAAAAAAAGGAAACCATCCCCCCCCCCCAC